TAGCAGATTGCCTTTCCCTATGAAAAGGCAAAACTACAATTGGATTAGATTATAAACATAATTTTCTAGAAGCTTGAGGACACACCTTCTTGTCTCCACAAAGTTTTCTTCCTAGTTCTCTGCATTTAATAATCAACCCTCAGCTCCCTTTCTGCCAGAAGCACAGACACAGACAAATGTATTGGACATTTGGGAAGACCATTTCCCTTATTGTTGAAATCCGACCAAATATTAATGAAGGTACTATTGTACAAGCGATTGGCGGAGCAATATAATGAGTGACACTAGATTTTGTTCAAATCGTAAACAGCTTTTATGACTTAGATCAGGCACTTTAGATGGCTTCTTGTATGCAACCTTGGAATTTCATTAAATGGTTTGTCTTTTTATTTTGTGTTTCAGTTTATTCTTTCTTCCTGGACGCTATGTTTACATTCGATAAGAACCTTGTTCATGCAGTTTTTGTTTTGGATCTGGTTCGCTGCGGTCTTGAGCAAGTATTTAATAGCTGTCAACTAATCTGAGTTTCTTGTTGCATTGCATTATCACAGGAATTGCTCATGTTTGTTTTTTCCTTTGGTATTTGGTAGTCCATTTGACATTGATTATTTCTTTGTATGAAGAATAATCTCCAATGGATTTGGGGTGATATTGTTCTCTACGAAGTTCATCAGATGATTTGAAATGAATGATGGCGGAAAATCCAGCAGCTCCGCATGAGATAATGATGATGTATCCAGTCTGGTAATGCTTCTTCTCTATCTATTCAATGCTGTGATAATGTCTTCTAACTAAAAGTACAATTGAGCGTATTTGCAAGTCAATTGGGTTAAGGACATAAATTCCTTAGATAACATGTAAACCCTTGATCTGATGCCTGTTCTTGAACCACACTGATGTGACTTTTCCAGATTAGAGGAAGTATTTTGACATAATTCTGCGATAAGTGTTTGCATTGTGCCTTAACTGGAGCAAGGATAAAATTGTGTGTCAAATTTTTATGAAATTCAATGATGATGAGCATTTCTGTTTATTATCTTGGCTTTAATTTTAAGGATGTTCTGCCTTATTTTGCAAAACCAGTAATGCTGGAGGTGGACTGATATCACATGCGTTGTATATATTTGTAAACAAGAGGTTGCTACTAAATCTTCCATGATAATTTTAACTGGGCTTAGCTGCCACCTGAATGCCCGCCCCATTCCTGAAATTTATTGGTGAGCCTAATTTGAACTTGGTCATAGTGGCCCTGGAACGAAGTTTGGCTGATCCTTTTCCCAATATTGAAATGAAGGCTTTTTAATTA